AAGACCAAACACTTCTGCCCGCTCCCAAGAGCTTCTTGCTTGAGGGACTGAATGCTAGGCCACAGTGAAAACTCCCAGGGTAACATTCACATCCACTGCAAAGACACCACAGCTTCTGGCTTCTCTCCAGCTCCATTTTGTAGTAGCCATGTCTGGAATCTGGCCAAGCATATTTCTGCATTGTGTTGTGAATAGAGTCAAGACCAGGTATCATTGCCTGAACATGCCCACTAACCACAGAAATCTCAATAAGGTCCTCTCTCCAAAGGAAAGGAACTGGTTCTGTAGCCAGGAGATGCCCTACGCCATGAATCATGACCAATCAATGCCAATGACTGGCAAGCAGATTCCAATATAGCATGGCCTATTTGAGACAAACTATAGGAAGCATATTAAGGGTGGTTATGCTGCTCTCTGCTTTGTTCGCTCCTAAATGGCTGCAGCCCAGCTATTCACCCATTTGTTTTGAGAGATGCCCAGGGTAGCATCCTTCAAATGTCTGCAACATTCTTGGCAGGCAAGGAAGTGATGTGATTATGGAATCAGAGTCCATTTGGGCCTACAGGGAGGCTGCAGCATTGCATTATGATACTTTGTTTTCCAGTAAGCAGAGGTGGAAAAAGAGAGGGCCATTTCATGTGCCTTCCCACAAATTGGAGAAAAGGGAAGTGTAGATTAGGCCCTCCTGCAGCATGTCTGCATTTTGTGTGGTATAAAATCCACACATGGAGCTGAATAAACATAATATTCCACAGGGGCTGCCTTTTTACTTTTGACATGCTGTTGCAGAGTTCTTTGAAACATGCATTTGGAATATCTGGCTTGGGGCAGGACGTTTTGTCAAGGGGCTAGGAGTTCTAAAAGAGATGGATCTCTCTGCAAAATATATGTTATTTCAGGAGCTGCTCCTGAATCACTAAAAGCAAATCTTCACTACCAGCAAAATTGTTTAACAGCCATTCCCTTACCCTAGGGTATCTTTGCTGTCCAAGTGCTAGGAGTGATTTATTTGCCAGAAATGGCCATTTGCCTGGTCAAATGGGACTTAAAAGAGCACTCCCTGGGTCATATTAAATGTTGCTGTGAATGGAGCACAAAATTATACATGGTGATTGAATTGAAAAGTGGAATCAGAGTGTTTTGTTTTGTTCTGCTTTGCTTTGGATTAATGCTAATTTCCAACATGTGCAGGGTCTTTCCTGTGGGGAGAGCTTGTGGGCACCTGATTGTCTCAGAGATTTCCAGGTCTCTGTGCTGAATGTTCAAGTTTCCAGTCTTTTAAAGAAGTGCAGGTCTACATTTTTAACCAACAGAATCATCCGATAAAGTGGGCAGACCCAATTCTACTCAAATATATAAGCCAGTCCCAATTTCCAGTGTATGTATTGGTGTGATCACCTAGTATTCAATGAATTAAAATCAGGAATATCCATCTCTTAATATATTTTAACCTGCCCATGGATAGTCATGCTACTAACATCCCATGTGGTTCACTGTAATATATTACACTGCATGTCTTTTGAAGGTGGTTCAGAATTGCAGCTGTTCCTAAATATAGCACTGGTAATGCTGAATAGCAGGGTGTGAATGGAGTGTACAACACCAGCTCCCAGTCCATTTCCAGGCGGGAAATGGGTATGGGGGAAATCATGTGGTTTGTTGGAGACCATCCTGAGGACCATAGGCAACTCTGGGATTCCTCTCTTGAGGTCGTAGATACTGCTACAACCTCAAAAGGGGCAATCTGAATGGAGATACAAGCTAATGCAAAAGGCTTCCTTGCCCATGTCTGGAGCTCTGGCCTCAGGTGAGAAAGCAAGTGATGGGGAAGCAGAGATCAGGGCCTTGAAGATCAGCCTCCTAGGACATTCTGCAGTCCCATCATCACCATCTGGGTGCTGATCACAGCTAAAGCTTTCTCCACAGATTTGGTATGATAGAATTGGTATTTTGCTTCCCACATATATATCAGCTACAATATGATCAGGGAAATTCTGCTTAACACTTCTTTTGCAGGCATGCAGATGTACAAGAATTTATCTACCTGTGGTCACTACAGTAGCAATGGCTTGGATCCTAGGTTGCTATTCTTTGTATGCTTAGCTTGTAGCTACTTACAAACCGACATGGAGTATATCCATTGTATCCCATCCCAAGGCTCCATAGAATTCTAAGAAAGCCACCTTTAAAGCGTCATCTCAGATTTAGCAATATTTAACTTAAAAGGAAATCCAGATGCAGATAAAACCCTCTCAGTTTAAATTTAGGCTTCCTTCCTATAATCACTTGCTGGGCTTCAAACCAGAGTAAGTCTATAAAACTTCTCTAGAGCAAGCATTCCATGATGCAATTGCCACTGCCCAGTAGATCTTACCTTTGCTAGCATGCCCCTTGGTGTAAAAGCTAGCTAGAATAGAGCAAAACTGGAACAAGAAGGTTCCTAGCATTGGGAGTGCTCAAGGGATGGGAAGTTAAAAGCCCAGCATCTCTCAGCTGAAGGGTTTTAATGACTCAGTGCATATTTTCAAGTGCATCAGAACAGTGCACTGAGAAGCAGAATGCCTGAGTAATTACACAGAAAGGATAATTTTCATGAAATTATGAGTGGTGGACCTAGCAATTAAAGAGCTGGTCTTGGCAATGCAGTGCTGTTTCTGCTGACTAGAGCAAGGCTGCTTTGAGGAAGCAGGCCTCGTGCAGATGGGGGCTAGGTTTACGGGACATTAAACGCAAGGGATCTGCGCAGATATTGTGACGGTGCTGATCTCAGAAAGGGGCTGCGCTCTTAGGGGCCACGTAGCCACCGACAAAGTAACTTCAGAGAATTCTATTCCCATCTGAAGTCCCAGATCATAAGTCAGAGCATTGGGCTCCTGGATATCATGAAGCCCCTCACTGTTGAGGACTCCATGAATATCTGTCTGTCTATTGATGGATAAACAGGTAAACATTGCAATAAAGTAGCACAAGAATAATGCAACAAAGAATTCCGGATCTATGATGGAATCAGTCAGGCTTAAATTAGAAGATATAAGAAAGATAGATAAACCACTCACACCTGTTTCTTTTTCTTCTTAGAAATCTTTTATCTCCAAGCATTTTAAACTAGCATTTTGGGATTCATTTACCGTAATAGCTACTGGTGAGGCCTGAAGCCAACATGTTTAGCACTAAATATATTTGGAAATTACTCTGCTGTTATCTGTCTAGTTTGGAAGGCAAACTAACAGCAGAACAATATATTTATTTAAATTTAAATCACACACACACACACACACGTTTGTGTGTCTGTGTAAGTATGGGGATAGGTATATAGAGATCACAAAGAGATACCAGGTAGCGTACACAGGATTAAAACAAACAAGGAAATCCAAGAGAAAAACCATGAAGTTGCACATAAAAAGGCAAATTAAAACAAAGCTCTTCAACAAGCAAGCTAAATGTAAACATATTAATCAATTCAGTTTAAAAATTAAGGAAGTCTTAAGAAAGCTAAAGTCTGCCGACTGCTTGGGAAAAACATGTTTTATCTGGTACTGAAAAAAACCCAAGTCAGCACTAACCATATCTCCTTTGGACTATCTAAGGTGACGGTACCTCCACAGAGAAGTGTTTACAAATGCACAGCATATGTCCCTCAACAGTCTTATTTCAAGAAGGGATTCCTCGAAGAATCTTAGCGCATGGGCCCGATACCATGGGAGAAGATGTTCTTCAAGATCTGGTAGATTCAGTGGATCCGATGACAGAGTGGTAGAGAGGATGGGTACTTGAAGATCATTAAAAACTGGAAACCATGACTAGAGATATGATGCATCCTGCCATAGTGAGGAAGACAGTGTCCAGGGTGAACTGGCTGTTTGCTCAGCCCCCCACCCAGGTGCTAACAGTTCATAATTAAGTCCAAGTCCCTGTCTGTCCTTCATCCCAGCTGTTTCCTTTAAAGCAACTTGAACTAGAAAGCAATTCAGATAGTCAATATCTTCAGATACAGGACTGCTATATATGAAGAAGGGCATGTGATCTTCTAGGGCATGCGGTCTCCTGAAATCATGAATGCATGGTTTATCTGTTATCCAGATTCTGCTAAATCAAAATTGTGTGGGGGCAAGTTCACCATCTGATCCTTAAGTCTGGCCAAGGAGGTCTCTGTTTTACCTTGTTCCAAAACTGGGAGGCAGCATCCTAATAACCCAGGCAACTAAAGCACCCTGGACGATACTGATCCAAGATGGTACTGGAGCTGGCACTGCATGGACTGTAGGTCTGATCATCCCGTTGGACAATAGCTAGTATTTCTCCTCCACATTTGTGGGCAGAGAAATGGTGTGTGTGTGTGGGAGGGGGCAATTTCACTGAACTTCTCCAGGGACAGAAGAAATTTTCCAACAGGTAAATCTCACCATTGGCAGCAGGGGTTGTGGCAAAGCTTCTTTCTTTTCTTCTTTCTCCCCAAGGTGTTTTATGGTTGTCACATTTCCACTGCAACCAGCAACAGCAGCAACTGTGTTAGCAGCCCAGCATCTTTTTGCATCCTGAAATATGACCCATGGCTAGTGCCATTCCAGCACACTGTGGGAGAAGAAGAAGGGGGAAAGAAAATCTCAGAACATTTCAGAATTTAATTTGTTTTAGTTGTTATTCCTCAGAGGTCTGTAATTCCCCTTGTTACATTTCTGATGGATGATTATGGATACCTCTCTTCTCTAATGCATATACATACAAAATGCTACTTCGCTGGATTGTATCCAGTTCCAGGGAAAAGGGGAAGGTAGTCAGATGCCAAAATTTGTCCTCCAATTTCCTCGCAATTTTCTTTTCCTGTGAAGATCCTCTCGTATTTGTGTCCCATTCTCAGAGCATCTTATAATGGACTTGGGATCAACTTTCGTGGTATTGTTGAGCATTCTGAATCACTGTGATGTGGCCAAGAGCCTGTGGTGTGTGTGTGTATGTGTGTGCAATTTCTTTCTATTACCCATTTCTCTTCTGCTTTGCAGCCTCCAGATCTGTCTCTGCTTCTGCTCTGGAAAAGCTCTGTGGTAGGAATAGCTTCATGGAGTCTTCCCTAGAGCTTCAACCAAAGTATGAGAAGATGAATACACTACAGGCTGTCAGAGGGATGATTGTACAATGAAAAAGAGGACACTTGTGCACGATCCTTGGTCACCTCACAAGTAAACATAAAATTCTCAAAGGCAACCCATGAACATTTTCTCTGAATTTTTTCTCTCTTTTGAATTTCTTTTTGAAAGCTGATTCTTTTCCATCAAGCGGCATGAGAAAAGTAAGAACAATAATGCAGGAGAGATGTTTAATACAACACCAGTGGTCTAAAATGTAATCATACAGAACAGGAAATTTAATTCTCTTCTGTCACAGTATTTGTTGTGTCATTCGTACTCTGCTTATTTTCATACAGCGTATCCTAATGTACTTTACCTCATCTTTATCTGACATGATAAACTGTCCTGAGGCAATCTTCCTTTGAGGTTGCAGGTGCTTGTGCATTTCAATACAGAATAATTTTGTGAAGTCTATCAATTGTTCTCATTTGTGCTTCAACATTATGTGCCATTTTCTATGGGATTTATCACTATATTTGTTGGACCAGGGATATGCAAACACCTGGAGACAGACTGTGGTTCTGTAGTTTTGTTTGTCAGCCTTTGGACAAACATCTCCATGGAAGATCCATGTACCAATTGGAATGTCCAGGGCTGCCATTTGTACATCATCAATCCAGTATTGTTTCCTCTTTAATGTTTCTGAGAAGTACTGTATGTAAGGATATTTCTCTTCAACACTGTGGGTTCTGGATTTTGGATGCTTAAATCTTTGCCGTGCATGCATGGTTTGTATTATTAAAGATACTGATACATTTAAAAAGGAAAAGGAAACAATAGCTTAATTTCAAAGTTGGTTATTCTGCAAGCAACTAACCATGATCCCATGCGACTGGAAGAATCTGTGGAGGTGAAGGCACTTCTGTACTCCTTCCACCCCACAAAAGTTGGATGGCCTATTTTGGAGTGCAAGGAGAAGAGTCCGAGGCATTGCCAGGATATTTCATAACTTGGCACTGCCTAACTTATCCACCCTACTCCTCATTCCCCTCCCCCTTTAACCTCATCTCCAAAGTCCCTCTTGTAACCTTGGAGATGCAGACAGCTTGTCTTTTCATGATGGCTGTGAGGATAGGCAATGCAGTTGCCCGAGCTTGGAGACCAGGTACAAGGCTGGAGTATTTTTCCAGTCTTGCAGTGAGGTCTCTGAAAGCTCCTACATCCGTCTAGCAGCAAGTGGCAGCCACTGGATCATGCAGTCAGTTGACTGATAGTAGTCATTTCATTCATTCCTCAAGGTTGTGTGCTTGTATTAAGACAGGAAAGAAGATTGTTTGGCATTGGACGTAGGACGAGGAGTCTACTGAACTTGTCTTTTATGGCACTTGTTTCACTCAACGTAATTGAGATGGCCTTGTTTGGTTGTTCATTATATGTTAAATGGACAGTCCACTTTCCCACCAAAAATGGAGATCAAGGTGACTGATAAACATTGTAAAAAATCCCAAATAAAAACAAGGAATTTGATTAAAACATAAGCACAAGTCAATTAAAATATCATGACATGATATAAACAAACCAGTAAGATACAAGGAAGTATTATGAGAATCAAAATAGTTATCACAATGTTTATTCAAGCTAAAACAGGAACACAGGAAACCTCAGAGTGAAAGGGTCGGTCTACCATTCAGAGCTGTCTACACAGACCACAATGGCTCTCCTGGTTTCAGGAGGGAGTCAATATTTGGAGATATCAAGGACCGGATATGAGCTCCACTGAGCACAATGCTTGTGTTCTACCACTAACCTCTGGTGCTTTGGGAAACCACCAGTGCTTGTAGTGGAATTGCAGAAGATAATTGCAAGCCTGAGGAGTTCAGTGGTGTACAATGAATCATTTCTTCAGACATGAGTCCCTGGGGCACTCTTGTCTATGGTAAGCTCAGTCCAGGCTACTCTGAAGAGGTGCTTTGGCATGAAAGGAGATTTTGTGTGGGGGCCGGGGAAAAGCCCAAAAGGGCCAGTGATGTGTGTGCCGACACAATTGTCATATCAGGTGAGGAATGGAGTTCATGGGAAGATATTAGCCCACAGAGTATCTCCGTCACCTTCTTTGGACTTTCCATGCTGTATGCAGCATGAGGGTGCCTGGTTGCCTTATTAGTCTCCAAGTGCTGGAGGAGAGCTTTTACCCTGGACCAAAAGAAAGCAGGAAAAAAGCCAAAGCTTTCTCTAGAAGCAAAAATGACAACATGAAGGATGTCATACTTGAGTCACATCATGAGAAGACAGGACTCCTTGGAGAAGACCATCATGTTAGTGAAAGTTGCAGGCAGAAGAAGAAAGGCAAGACCAAGTATGAGATGAATTGACACCATCAAGGAAGCCACAGCCTTGAACTGGGAAGAGCTGAATGTAGTCCTCATGGACAGAACATTTTGGAGGGCTTTCATTCATGGGGTCACCATAGGTAGAAGACGACTTGATGTAACGTAACAGCAACAGGAATTTTTGGCAGGCAACATGATTGGCTAGAAGTTGCCTGTCCCTTTGTCCTGCGCCTCACTGGTGGGATGGTTAGCATTTTAGGCTGATTGGATTGCATTTATTCAGCCACATTCAGCAGATAGGTGCAGGCATAATTCAGTTAAGCTAAGGTTTGGTGAGTATTCATGCCCCTTGTCAGTGATTGGCAATTCCAGAGACGTCACAGCAGGGGTGTTGCAGCCCACCACGAAGATTGTTAATATTTACATTTCTATAGCACCCATAACCGAAGCTCTCTGGGTGGTTTACAAATGGTAGGAAAACACTAAAATGCAATAGATAAAACCAACTAACAAAAGTTAAAATTAAGTTTTAAAAGCGTAAGAGCATTAAAACAGTAATAAACAAAAACAACTGGCCAAAATGAAAGGCACCTGGCTAAAGACCAAGTGGGTCTCTAAAAGGTTCAACAAGGTTCAACGTGTAGATTGCCTTTGCGGCTGACTCAACACACCTGCTCAGAGTGTCGCAGGTCTGGAGTGGAAGATGGAGAGGACTCCCTGTGGCCAGACACCACCTGGTAGGAATTGGATGTCTCTCCCAGAAACATTACAGGATAGAATAGCATGTAAGATGCTACCAGGATGCTCCCACGTAACAATAGCGCCCTGCGCCATCCCTGTCCTTTGCCAATCTGCCTTGAATAAATGTGCTCAAACCGAGGCCAAAAATGATGCATCTGACTTTATTTTCTCCCCATCCTGCCTGCTTTTTTAACTTCCAAGTTGGCTCCATTGTCATATTTTGATGGGGTCCCTAGCACTTATCATCCTGCTTTGTAACATTTACTTACTTTGACTTTGTTAATTTGTTCCTACTTAATACAATCTTTCCTCTCCAATTCATTCATTTACTGTATTCTGAATTCTGAAAGGAAACATTGCCTATTGGCAACAGAGCACTTGTGATTTGTAAGTGGCTTCACTGAAAGAATAATGATTTTTAAAATAATTGCCTGGATTTTCAGATTGGGAACCAAAAGTCATCAAACTGAAATGCCATTTCTTTAAAAAGAAAAAGAAAAAGAAAGAAGGCAGTTTTGCTAATGCTTCCTCTTGAAAACTCACCTAGACCACAGCATTTTCCTAGCCCATATGCATTTCATACCTTTAATCATCCACTGATGTGCGGAATACACTTCAATAGAAAGAGTCACAAATTAATGTTTAGGGTTGCCTCTGTGGTGCAGCGAAGTACATTTAAATGGGGTGTGAGTCCAGATCCATGTGACCAATTCTTTGTCAAGCTGTGACTGGAGCGATCAAAGCATCAAAATATTCTTGGAGAGCTATTGTAACATTTATGTGGATCAACAAAGAACAAAATCTTAAATTTGGTATTAAGAGTGTCCAGGTGTTAAGACAGTGGCTGGTGTGTTCACTTGCAAAAGGTGCCATCTCACACCATTACTGGATCACACACATCTGATTTTGATTTATATAGTTTTGTGCCTGTGAGCTGGACAGCAATCATCAAATCTTATACTCAGTGGAGTAGAAATTCACACAGAAATATCTTTATAGGAATCACTTGCTGCCACAGGAATCTGTCTGTGTATTCAAGTTACCTTCAAAGGCCCTTTGCAGATTCCGGTCTTCACAGGTGAAGCAGGTGGTGCCTATGCCTATGGAAGGGGTTTTATGCAATGAAGGACCATAGCTTTGGAATAACACCTCCAGGAAGGAAAAAGCAAACAAGCATCACGTTACTTTAAGGACACTGCAATTGTTTGTGGTTTTTATTCTGGGTTAGGTACAGGGCATTTATCTGGACTGGAGTCATAGGTTGTTGTTCAGTCACAAAGTTATGCCCGACTCTTCGCGACCCCATGGACAGCATTCCTCCAGGCTCTCCTGTCCTCCACCGTCCCCCAGAGTCCACCCAAGCCCACACCCACCTCTCCAGTGACCCATCCAGCCACCTCATCCTCTGCCGTCCCCTTCTCCTTCGGCCATCAGTCGTTCCCAGCATCAGGGTAGGAGGCGAGAGATTTTAGGGGCTTTAACTCTTTCTCCCCCACAATGGAACTGGATCTAGAAGAGAATGGATCTGGAAGGGAACACTCCTGCAATTTCTATTACAAAATAATCATCCATGCATTTTATCAGCACTGTTTTGCAATAATTCCAAAGGATGGCCACATTAATCTGTTGCGGAACAAAACTGGTCTTGTGGTACTTTTCTGGTGAATGCATTTATTCTAACATAAACTTCTCTGGCCTATAGCCCACTTGATCAGATGCAACGAAAGCTATAGGAGAGTCTCCAGTTTGTGTGCAGCACATATGGGGAGTGGGGTGACTCGAAAAGAGCAAGCTCAGAAAATAGAAATACAGAAGGCAGTGTCCACAAATGGCATTGTTAAGAGTGCATTGCATTGTTATGCCCACATCCTGGTCCTAAAGAAACCAATTCACAAATGTCGCCCATGTACAAAAACAAACCAACTACAAAATGTGGCTACTTCTTTAAAGCAATCACTTTAAAGCAATCACTGTTTTGGCCCTGCACTTCAGGGAATGCCTGTTTTATGTCTTCTGTATTCTGTTTTGTGGCCCATCTCATTAGATCCCACTCAGGGGCCATCCAGTGTGGATGCCTGTAACACTCTGAGCTGGAAAGGTTGTGAGCTCCCAGTCAAGATCTTCTCCTGCCATGCAAAAGACAAAGCTGGCTGATTTCAGTTGCCTGGCTTTTGCTCCTGCTCGTGGGGAGGTAGAGCTGAAGCACCGCTGGGGGCCCTTTATCTGGGTGAGGCCTGCCCTTTCTCTCCCACCCCCTGGAACGCCTCTCCTGCACTCGCTCCAAAATGCACTTGCAGCTCCAGAGCTGCTGTGGGTCTGCAAAGGGATATGCTGCCTAAGAGGGTAGTGAGAGAGAGAGCACTTCATGGCTGGAGTCCCAGCCCATTGGAATGCATTTCTA